GGAGGATGTGGCCATGGTAGAAATTTATGGAGCTACTGGTGTGAGGGGAACTACAGAGAGTTCAAACAAAGATTCACATAAGCACAGAAAAACTGACAACAACAGATAAAACAACGATTATCTTTAAAAACCACTTTTTATATTCTAAGACAGATTTTGATGAAAAAGTAATATGGAGAATTGCTGATATCTAATCTTTACCATTTGTAGACTGGCAGACAGCCATCAGCCAAATAAAAATAATGCCAAGAATTTGCAATTTGCACTACAGAAAAGTAAATTAATTGCTGCAATCTTGGTAGATACTCCAACACAGAGTATGAGCTGAAGGATGTTTTTATTTTGCTGAAGTACAAGTGTTATTTGTCTACACCCARTAAAACCATTTTCTTACACTATTATTGGCTAAGGAAGGTGGCCATGCAGTTTGCTATTARTGCTCCAGTGACATCTACACCCATGCTCTTCCCAAGGGTGACAATGCAGAATGTCCCTCTACTGAAGCTCAGCTTTGAGAACAAAACCCTTTATTAACGTGCACAGCACAAAGTGGAAAAGCTGCAACTGTGTAACAATCCTCTTCCCCTAAGCCAATTACAACATCACCATGATCATCATGATCAACTGATCATGGAGGAAAATAAGAGGAGCATGAAAGATCTAAAGGGAAAAAAATTAGTTTAATACAAATGAAAAAGAAGAAGAAAGTCAGAAAGGAAGGAAGCTTAACACAGAAGTCAAAAGAATGAGGAAAGAAAACACTCTCCTCTGTGAAATCAAAATAGTCCATTCTCACAACCAGTGAAATCATATCCAGGAGGTGTTTTGGTATTTGTGTTTCGAGGGTTGGCCACCTGGATACATTCTGAAGGCATCTKAAGAATTATTGRTTTGGAACAGCTACAGCTCACCRAACCATTACTACTGGAGTAAGCCTTTAACATGCTGATCCCTTCTTAAACCCCTGCCCCCATATTGGCACTTTAAGAATATTAAGAATTACAGGACAGTTTTATAAACCCATTATATAATTTACACCTTGTACCATGTGTTCAGCTCTGGCTATTCTATTTGAGAGGCTACCAGAGTGTTACAGGCTTTTAGGAAGGGTAACAGCTACAATGTTTGGTTCCACACTTTCTGTATAATTCATACAAACTAGAACAACACAGAAACAAATTCAGATATATCTAGTTTTTAGGTAAATATTGTATAGCATGCACATGACAGGGTGTTTAATGGGACAGACAGGAGGTTTTTATAAGCAAGTCAGGGAATTTCCAATATGAGAGTTTTTTTTTGGCTGTGGTTCCATGGCAACCTAAGCCAATCTAACTGATTTTTTCACTCCCATCCTTCTCCTCACCCYTCTCGGGAGCTCTCAGCCCTTCCATTTCACTCCCTGTAGCACTCAGTTGACCTTTTGTGAAGCTGTCTCAGCACACTAACCAGGCMGAACACCAGACCAGCAGCTCTTCAGAACATGGAGTTTTCTGATGCACTGGTAGACGGGAACAGTTCAGCTGAGGCTCAGAGACACATCAGAATCGGTGCTAGAGGCAAGAGGGACCGGCAGCCAGCTGTTCTATGGACCGAGGCTGCTGTGGAATCTGCCTGCACATTGATGGGATGATAACATCTGTGGTGGGTARGGAGCTATTTACAAAGCAGTTGTTTGCTCTGCTCAAACCACGCTTGGTTATTTGCATGGTTTTACTCACGTGTCACCTGGCTCTGCTGTGTGACCAAGCACAGAAGGTTCACTCTTGGGCACAAACCAACAATCCCTGATGAAATTTGTTTATTCCTTCRGTTCCTGACCTCAGCTATATGGGAGCACTGCTGCGGAAAATGTGTTTGGAAAAAACCCAGCCCCCATCTGTCAATCACTGAAAGGTCATTTTCCCTCCTGCCCCCAAATTTGAAAGCTATCTTTTATGGCAATCTAAAGTAAGACATAGAATTTCGCACGGACGTTCTGAGGCATTAGTTCATCCCTCTGCCTTGCTGACTCCTTACCGGAGCAGATGCCTTCGGAAAGTCACATCTTTGAGCCACACAGTTTGGCAGAGCTCATTTGTCAGCGCCCCGAGGCGAGCCTTTCATCTGCCGGCCACACAATGGGAGCAGAGCTGCAGTAGAGGTGGCTGTATTTACATGCATGAGCAAACCGGTTAAAATGCGTATTTCAGCTACCCARACTCTCATTTGCTCACTACCAGCCAGCACAGCCATTCAGGAGGTGTCYAGAAAACTCAATCCCCTCTCCAAGGAACCAGTCTTTGGAACCTTGCTGTGAACACATGCCTGTAACTCAGGAAGGTTCCCAGTAGAAGTAGGACAATGCAGACCAGTTCTTTCACAAACAGATACCACTCATAGACAAAAAATGAACCCAAAATACACACACATCTTCAAAGGAAATTTTTAAAAGTTCATCAATCTATCTCAGACCTCTCGGTATGCCTGATGTTTTAAGTTCTAAAAAAATTACTAAGGATTGTCACAAAAAAAGCAACRAATGTGAGCACAAAATCAAAACTTGCTRAAGGAAGCAAAATGACCTCAGAACTCGTTTTGATTTAAACAGAAAACACTTTTATAAATACCAGCATTACAGTTTAGGAGAAACTCTATACTCTTAAGATTTATAATCCAAGTATTCACAACACCCAGGAACTGTCTGTTTTAGGAGTYTTAATGTGTTGAGCACACTGGCTCCTGCTAGAAGACCAGGCATTTCCACATAAGAGCACTCAGAGATGGCACTGTGGACTTAAGATGCTTTTAGAATGGCGRAAAGTAATTGCATTCCCATCACAGGACTCCAAGAACACTCCCCTACAACTGACTTTGACATACTATGAGAAGATGAGGACTTATCCTCACGAGAAACAAAGATTATGTTCAACAACATGGGCCTGGACTCGCACKAAGGCAGTTCACTCTGCCATCACATCATGACCATGTTTTTATTTGCTCAGTTCCCACAGACTTCAGTTTTACAYAGTCCAGTTTAAGCCCACATTCTCCCAGAAGCATTTATTCCTGTGGAGCAATTACAGGAYACACACACAACCTTGCATAATAAGCAGGGGTTAACAAACTAGCATACTTTGCATTCTGCTGARTAACTGATCTGCTGCTAAAATATTGTGGCATCATTCTCATCTCAAAAATAACATTTCTACAGACTACCCACATCTGTCTCCACTCTGTAGTGACTGAAATTAAATACTTCAGCCCAACATCAGGGTGGGGAGGCTTATCTGAAAGCCAGTCTGAAGTGTCTACTTAGAGTAAAGATCTGCTTATGTGAAAGTAATAAGAGATGAAAGGCATGTTTTCATATCATCCCCAGCAACAAAGACAATTCAACCATTGCTTGTATTTAAACACCAATCCTTGAACTCCCAAAGCTCTTTTTAAAGAGAAGATAATATCTTTATAAACAAAAGTTGTGTTGAGTCACACAGCGTCTACCTTTCAAGTAGTATCGGTGTTTCAGAATAGGCACCCCCACGTCTTGAAGAGCAAATCACTAATAATATAAGCAAGGAATTAGATGTAGCTCCTCACAGACTAGTTTCCTCTCAAAAATGAGAAAGTGAAGATCCTCTAGGACAGTTATGTAACAAAAGGATTCCTTAAGATTTGTTTGATCAAAACAGCTTTGTTTCAGTCAATTAGAAGTTCCCTCAGCACACAGCATTGTACATAGAGACCAGTTTTCAGCTAAGCTCCTACTCTCTAAGGACACTCACTAATGCTCAGTGTTGATAACCTGGACTTATGTGTAATCTGCAGCCTAGGTAAGTTTACCGGAAAAAACCCCACCTATTTTCTATGTATTCCCACTTCAGATATCAAACTTCATTTAAAAGGTGGTTACAGTATGATTCYTGTGAGTTTTGTCCTCCCCCAAGCCAGATGTGAAAAAGCACAGGTGCACTTGCATGAGGTTACTGTACTCTCATCCTTCCAGATGATCAAAGTGAGGGGATTTATCCTGCCTATGGCAGGATGGACCCCTGAAATTACTTAATCCTTTAAAATCAGCCTACAGTAACAAGTGATCRTGCCGGTCCTACTGACCAAATCAGAGAAACCAGAGTTTCTTCACATTTGTTACAGCAAAATCTTGAGTATTACCCACTTTTATACTGCAGGAAGAAACTTACTAAGATGAAACATAATTATTTTGACAAGTTAAAACATTTTTTAAAACACCTGTTTGGCTATGGTTCCATTTCCCATTTTGACAGACTCCAGCACCAAAGTATCCAGTTTTCCAGAATAAACCTGTCACTCCTAGAAGCTAGGTCAAGACTTCAAGGGAAAGGCCTCTTTCACAAAGCTCTCTAAAATAAAGACCTGTGACCAAACTCTTCATTTCTACAGATTTTAAAATCTTCCTCTACTCCAGAATACACTTCCACAAYGGATTACATATGGAACAGCTCAGGGTTCAACCCCCTAAAATTGGAAACAGAAGTGAAGTTGCACATGAGAGCTCAGACACAAAATCGGCTTAAAGGCCTTGCACAAAGAAAGAATTGAAATCAAGACACTCGGGCAATCCGGCAGGTGAGAACAACAGAAAACCAGAATAAATTCCGTGGGTAAACTAACCAAATTTCCTGGGGCATTAACAAGGTCCCCATCTTTTTATTGAACTACTCTCACAGAACTATTACTGAAGGTAACCAACAGGCAGCAGCAAAATTAGCTGTAGCAGGGGAAAGCATGCAATTTTTAAAAATCATTCCACTTCTGCAAAGGTCACCTGTCTGTCACTGCWCATGCTGCCCATGAGTTCCTGCCCTGCCCATTTGCAGACTGTAACTGGCACCAATTCCTGGCTGGAGAGAAGAGTCTCTGGCAAGCTGGCTGCCCAATGCAGAGATTCATGTACAGCTCCCCTTTGCTGCAGCAGCCACAATAAACTGATTTTTCCATCACAAACGAGAAGATACATTGAAATAGCTGGCAACATCATGGACTAACTCAGTGAATGTTTATTAGGGAAGTGATCAGTGTACATAAGCACACATAATCTCAGCAGAAGTATAGGCATGAAATAAACAGAGCTCAGAATTCAGAGCTTCTCTACTGCCCCATAAATATGGTACAGAAATTTCTGAAAATTCCAAGACAAAGTTAAGAAGCACCTGTGTTTTTCTAAAGAAGTATCCAAAACATTTTTTAAGCAGCTGTTCTGTAATCTTTTGCATTCTAATTGCACGGAAACACCCCAGTTTTTTCTGAGTATATGGAGAACAAGCTTAACAACACATACTGTTACAAAAGTGGCATTATTTCCCCATGGTTTTAGGGAAATTAGAATTTAGAAAACTAGAAATGTATTACCCTGCCTGTTTTGCTTGACAGCTGCTACTGTAATATACACTACTGTGACAGCCCAMTGGAGTATAAAGCTTAAGGCTTTCAGCCACTTGGTACACCCAGACTCTCTACTACTGTATTGCAAATATTAGGACTATTATTTGGAGCACCAAAGAAAAATGTCAGTATTACAGTATCTTATGAAAGTTTAACAATTAACAAAGTTCAACCTTCTCTCTGGCTTTATTTATATTWCAAAAGCCAATACAAAAATGTTACACACATACCAGTCACTCCTCCAGACTTGAATTTTGAGCAGTCACTGGGAATTTAGTGCTGCAGTATTTTCCAACAAYATGCAACATTTTATATGCAGCTGAAAGGCTACTCTAATACAATATTTAAGCCTGGTGGGTTTTTTTCAAGCTTTTGGCAAATGTGTAAAGGTCCTGCTTCCCAGTAGCTCCATTATTTTTATGTAAGTGACAGCAGGTAGCTACTTAGTAGATTGTTTYGTTATATATAAATGCCACTGCAAGTAGGGCTCTGCTTTACTTCCGTGGCTTGGTTTAACCCAAAAAATTAGTTCTGATATCAATAGCCTAATTACATGAAAATGTTCATCTGTTTTGAAGTATGCAAGACCTAGTCAAAGCAAGTATCAATTTTAGCTACTGGGTTTTCACAGAAAAAGCTTTTTTTTGCAAGAGACAATTAAGGCTTCCATCAGCCTACAGAGGTTACAGTGAGAAACAAGTCTAAGCTACAGAAGCATTGGTCTATTTTTGACATTGGTATTTAAGTATTTATTAAGCTGTTTTCATCCATTTATTCATTTGGCTGACATCCATTTGCCACGTGTAACATTTGAAAATGCAGTTAACAAGCTGCTAGAATAAGGAATCCAGACAGTGTCTGGAAGGATATTTTCTATTAACATAATAGGCAAGAGCTTCTAGAATTTGTCTTGATGATAGACTTSAACTCTGCCTGAAGCAAGGATGGGAAAAGGAATCCCTGCTAGTACCAAATAGTTCAAGGATGTAAAAAAGCCACTATCTTTTACTAAAAGTATTTGCACAAGCAGAGAAACCCCCTCCCCCCAGTTTCTCTAGCAATATTCCGTGAAGTTCTATTTTAATTTTTAAAATACAGAAGTTTAATTACTKAGCCAATATAACAGTTCTACAAACTGCATCATGGATAATGTTGCACGGCTTAGGACAAAGAGCAATACCAAAAGCTAGAGTGTTGCCAGTGACAGTGGTAATACAAATTGGCAATTTCAACATTTCAGTTCAGAAAACATCTGTTATTTTAAACCAGCATTTTCAACATTTCAGTTCAGAAAACATCTGTTATTTTAAACCAAACAGATTTATATAATGTATGTAAATATTCATCAGACCCAGTAACCATGCTACAGTATTAGGTTAATAAACCCTTTCATTTTAAGAATACACCAGGTGTAAGGTAGGAAACCAATGAAATCTATATGAAATTTTACAGTAACTTTCCAGATGTATGCTTGTGGCCTACCAAATTCAGACTAACATAATGTAGATTTAAAATATTTACTTGTCTTCTTAGCATACCTAATGTGTAAGAATAGTTGCYTGATACCCAAAAATAAATATAAGCTTTCAATTGAAAGCACTTATTTTCCTAGATTTCCAAAGTGGAGTCTGAGGGGTGAAAATACTTCAGACTTGTCATCAGTCCACTTTAGTACATAAAAGCATCTCCTGTCCCAGTTTTTCATTCAAATCCAAGAGATTTTTTCCAGYGAAATATGACCAGAGCACTCTTATTCGCAGCACTTCAGTCTGTTTCCATGGCAGCACTGCGGGATTCCTTCGCCACCATGAGTCGCATGAGCTGACTGTGGAATTTCTCTATCTTCTTCACGTCTTGTGCCTGGTCTGTTCTGTACAGCAAACACTGCAAGACAAAGTTCTTAATATCAGCTTTCACTTGAACTGGTTTTATCTTGTTTACAGCTGCAATGCTTTTGTGCTTGGAATACACAAGACAAGGAGAGCACTGAAATGTTCATTTGTTACCAGGRGCAGCACCAACACATCTACCCTGTTTCAAAGCACACACATATCTGTGTTTACTTTTAAGTTTCTCCTGAACACTCATGCCTCCCATTTTGAAAATAAGGAARCTTATCATTTATTTTACTTTCTTCTAGCTCAAAAAAGCTATTAAAACTTGGGTTTTAAAGCTGTCTTTAAGGACACACCATTTTGTTGCCTGAACATAAAAACAGATTTTAAACCTGAAGTTACTTTCCTATTCTTGTATTCTAAAGCAAGTTTATTTAGGCATTGTTACATTGCCAGGGAGAAAAAAATGCAGCATTTCCCACTGAAGGGGATCCCCTACCCTAAGCAAAACTTGTTTTTCTAAGACAGCCCTAAATAAGGAACACAGCATCTGATTATGATAAAAAGCATCCRAACAAACAAACAACCCAAACACCAAAACAACACAACTAAAAACTCAAAACCAATCCCCATTTACCCCCACCTGGTGTAACACATTTCTGTGCCCGAAAGTAGGTAAGACAGCCTATACCCTAGAACAGTTCACATCTGTGAATCACCTGACTCCAACTTCCCCTATTGGGAGAGTTAAACAAAATTACCCTTAAATCCAATTCCCCCTGTTATCAGTGTCCCATACTCAATACCTCACCCATGTTAAGTCCTATTACCCTATCAAGTGACTCCCTATCAAGAAGTGCCTCTACTGGAGTTTCACATCCCTTCTTGGGCACTTGAAATTCCCATGCCAGACTACTTTTCCTGGAAAGAAGAAATTTGACTTTTTTCCAAGAGCTCCCAAGAGCTCCCAAGTTGACTGACAGCAAAACACAAGTCTAGGAAAGGTACAAGAAACCCTCAATGGGAAGTGTGTTCTTACTTACAGCCACATCATCTGTTACTTTGATGCAGAGATTYCCATCACAATGTCGGTATTTGAGAACAACACGCACCTGAAATGACAAAGACTTTAAGAATTAACACTTACAGCTAACAATTCTTAGAATATATTGAAGGAAATCTGCCCACATTCAGATTACCCTTAATTATAATTATATACTGCCCTGTGTTTTCACCACCTCTGTGGTGGTCCTCAGCTCTGGTGATGTGGAAGTTGACCCTATACCTTGGCTATAGTAATCCTATAGCCAAGGTGGTGTGGAAGTTGACCCATCCCATTTCCCTGCCTAACACTTTACACTRGATTTATAACAGCATCAGCAAGGTTAACACTGGGCATGTTCAAAAACACTGCAAATACAGCAACAACAGTTGCAGAGACCTTGCTGACAGGCAGGATAAACTATCAGAGTCATGTCGAGACAAGACACCCCCTCGCTGTGTATCACACTCCAGAAAAACCAACTGGAAGCCTGTGTYTGTAGGCTTGAAACACTTCAGAAAAGAGTAGCTCTACATGGAGACTTGAGAGGGATCAACTGAGTGGSGAAGCTCAACATCACCACTTTTTCTTCTATGGTACCAGAACTGTTACCACAGTTACTTTTGCAGTCACCTGCCCTGAGCTYCAACCTCCAGTCCCTTTGGACCGTCAAATCACAGTTCTCAAAGCCACRGTGATTAAAATATCCACACCTCAGTGACTGAGCATTACATGGTTTTTCCTGAGCACAGAACCAACCACAGAAGCATTGCATCTGTCTGCAGCCTCAGCTAACATCAGTAACTAGAAACAAAGCAAGGTGGCCTCTGAGAACATTCTGAACTCACACTGCAAACAGGCTTTTGGTGTACAGTGACCTGTGTTAATGGTGAACAACCTCCTTCATTACAAACACATTTTGAAATTCCTGCTCCAGAATGGATCTCATCACAGATTGACCCTTTTTGTTCAACAAACTGCCACCTTCTGACCACCGCWGCAGTGTAACAGTGCATCTCCCAACTAAGCAGGCCCTAAAGTACAAGAGGCTCCCAAAAGCAGCAGGTACAGACTCACTGTATCCATAAGTCACGTTTGCAAAGGCAAGACCATTCAGWACYTGGCTGAGAACACACACCCATCTCYCACAGTTCTTGYTCTCCTYYGGTTTTCCAGMAAGCCAAATTACAGAATTGCTGAAGCTAATTCTGTGCCAAATTAACAGGAAAGTACTTGTGTTACAACAATAGGGCCTATATAAACCCTTCTGTAACTASACAARTTTATTGTCAGAGATGGGAAGAGAYTGCCCTGGGAGGAAGAGCAACTCCTGGCCACAGTGACATCCCTCTTATTTCGTTTAATTGAATGTCACAAAGGCAAAACTGGATAATTTTAATATCAGCAGCAATCACATATGGTGTCTCTTGTGCTAATTAAAAGGCACATGTTAATCTGCTTTAAATAATCAGATATTCATTTAATCTTCTGAAGGTTTCTCCAGTTCCCCTATTTTTGGTGAAGAAAACTAGTTCTTTTTACTAATTTTTTTAAAGTGTGAGTTCCACATTACATTTTTCTGCTCCTTTTTAGATGACCTATAACACTTATTCTGAAGACTGAGGTTACTTTTACTATTTACATAAACCACACTCACAAAAATGTCACCAGAAACAAGAARGTTATAAACTGAGAAGTCCTTGACGAATTATGCAATAATCCCATAAAATAAACCAATTCTTGATACTTCAGCAGAACTCTTAAACTCTATTTTTAACACACAGGTACGCTGTGAATGAGCAAGTCTTTGAAGTTCAGTTCTTGGGGTTCATCCCAGCTGCCAATAACATCACCTGAAACACTGCTCCCTAGGGGTGTTGTTGGGATCATAAATGAGAACTTTCTCCTGTTTCAMAGAAGAGGATGATCAGGTACAACARCAAYGAGTAACCCCCTTCCCTAGAGCTGCTTTTTCTCCTCTATTCGACACTGGTGAGGGCACAYCTCGAGTCCTGTGCTCAGTTCTGGGCCCCTCACTTCAAAGAGGGCATGGAGAAGCTGGAGAGAGTCCAGAGAAGGGCAATGGAGCTGGTGAAGRGTCTGGAGCAAAAGTCTTAYGAGAAGAAGCTGAGGGAGCTGGGTGTGTTTAGCCTGGAGAAGGCTCAAGAGTCAGACTCTACCACCACCTGAAATTCAGGTAGGGGTCGGCCTGTTCTCCCATGCAACCTGCATGCAGTTTTAGGCTGTGACACGGGAGGTTTTAGGTYGCACATCAGAAGAAATTTCWTCACAGAAAGGGTGATTGGGCATTGGAATGRGCAGCCCAGAGAGGTGGTGTAATCACCATCCCTGGAGATGATAAAAAAAATAACTAGACGTGGCACTCAGTGCTATCTGATCTACCTGACATGGTTGTGTTCGATCATCGGCTGGACTCGATGACCTCGGAGGTCCTTTCCAATCCAATCGATTTTGCGATTCCGTGATTCTTGCCTCCCCCGCGCAGTCACCAGCACTGCATCAGCGAACCCCCAGCCCTGCCTGACACCGCCCGCCGGCCCCGCCGAGCTGCGCGCAGCTGGAGCCGCCTCCAGAGCGCCGCTCCCGCGGCCGGGACGCACACCCTGCCCTCCCAGCTCGGGAGGTCCTACCTTCATGGGGTCGGCGAGGTAGAGCTTCTCGGCGGCGCGGGTGAACTCCTCCCAGGCCTGGAAATGCGGCATGGCCGGGCCGGCTCCGCTGCCCGCGGCCGCGGCAAGATGGCGCCGGAGGCGGGCGGGTGGCCGGCTGAGACAGAGCCTCCTATTGGTCCACGGGAAAGCACCGCCCAATCCCGAAGSGCGTGACATAGCGCTCCCGGGCCCACCGGAGAGGGCTCGCCGCCACAGCGCCCCCTGCAGGCGAGGCGGGMTGGTGGCACGCGCTGCCCGCCCGCCGCGCGGGGACAGGGGCCCGGTGGCGGCCCGGGCTGGGAGCTGTGAGCTGTGAGTTCGTGGGTTCGAGCCCCGCCGCCGGCGGAACGACCCCCCACCCCGCCCGGGGCTGGCAGCTGCGGGGCTCTGCCGAGCCAGGTACGGGCTGTCCCCGTGATAGCCGCTCACCCTGAGGCACCGGGGGCGGTGGGGACGCGGGTGGGCCAGCGTGGARCCTGGGGGTCCGGCGGGAGGTGAGGGCAGGGCCCCGGCCGCGCACCTGAGGTGGTTTGTTAGCTCGGCCTGCCCTCACAGCTGAAGCAATTCCCAAGTTTTCCCAGGCTGGRAGGGCCGGCGTTAAGCTGGAGGTTTGGCTTAGTGTGTAACAAAAAGGGTATGTGGGAGCCCCTCATATGCTGGTGTCCCTGGTCCGCCGGGCTGAGGGGTGCTGAGGCCGTGCTGAACTAAAGCTCCTCTTCGGGAAAGAGGCTGAATGGCATAGAATAAAATAATGAAATATGTTGGGGAACTCTGCTTTTCAGTCTTGTGTGTGTGTGTGTGTGAGTGTGTGTAAAGGTTTTACACGAAACTGACTTAAAAATTCCCTTCAAAAATGAAATGAGGGAGGCAAAAGTAAGTCCAAGATTTCTCCCATTGTGTTTTAAAATCCCATTTCCTGCCGTGATTTTTGTGCCTTTATRGCACAAAGCTTGTAGCCAGACACAGAGCTAAGCTCGGCTCATGTCACACGGCTTGTGCAACTGCTGCAGTGACAATAAACACGTAAAACTTGCAGTCTCTATTCTCTATTTCATAGSGATCCACTGAAAACTCAAAAGCTCCTGATAATGATTCACAGCTACAAGTTTTACTGAACAACGCGAAGCACAACAGCGTGGCCAAGCAAATAAACTGGAAGGTTTAGGGCAGATCTGCATTTGAGGGGACAAATTATGCAGGCTGTTGCAGTCTCCACTAGCAACATGGGGAAATACTATAGCTGCAGGCTTTTTTTGGCCACAAAAGGCACAATACGTGCAAAAGAGAATGAAGAAACGTGGCATAGGAATAAAAGGGTAGATGGGAGGTAAGGGGAGAAAAACTGGAATGAAATTCCCTGAGTCAGTAAAGCAGAATATAATTGATACTGTGGGGATCAACTCTGAAAAAGTCTGCAGTGATTAGACTGACAAACTTCGTAAATTGCAACTCGTGGGTGTTAGGTGGTCTAAACAATTCTGTTGAAGGGCTTTGCACCAATGAGTGCAAGGATGCAYTTGGATGCATCCACTATGCATTCCACTATGGATGGTGCAAAGATTTAAGAATTTTTTTTCTTTCTTTCCAGAACTGCTTACAGGGTTTAGGTGCTGATGTGTCTGAGAACCCGGCTTCAGACATGCCAGAGTTGTCTTTCAGAGATGCTGAGAATCAACAGATTATCAGGTGATAGATGTATGGACAGAGCATAAAGCAATCATCCCAGACACAGAATGGATGGAGTGGTTCCCTACTCTCATTGGGTTTGGGCAAGTGTTTATAACAGCAGAGTAGCAATTGCATTTGGTAGTGTTTCACAAACACGTAGGGGATGTAAACACATGGCAAGGAAACATGAGGGGAGCACAAACCCTGTGACACAYATAACATTTTACAGAACCGTTTTCACCAAACTTGGATCCAGGTTTTCAAGTGGGATGTGAACCAAGTATTCATGGGTACATCTTCTGAAAGAGCCCCAGGTTTGGGCTGTCCAGTCATAAGCATTTTAGGGCTGCTTTACAGAGGATTTTAGTTTTSACTTAAATGTTCAGGATCTTTTATATATTCTTTGACACAGAAGTGGTTTAGGAGCTTGCCAATGCCCAGTTATTAGCCCTGCAGTTGAGCTAATGCAACAGAGYGAGATCAGAAAACAAACCCATTGTGGTTTTTTTTTTCCCCCATAACCTAGATGCTTTGTATGATCCATTTTAGGATGYAGCTTCTAAAACTGTTCTGTATGCACAGTTTTGGAGGTGACAAACTGCAGCAGCCAGGGCAAAGAACAGAGAGAGGGATTTCATAATTGGCCTTGCCTCTGAGGGAAATGGGATGTGTCAYGATGACAGTTCTATACTGCCTGATGCACAGCTCTGCATAGCCTGCTCCTGGCTGCAGATCTTAAGGATTTTGTCATCACTGCCACCACCACCACCTCTGGCCCCACGTTGTGCTGCCACAGCTGTTTGTAACTCTGCASTGGGGATCCAACCAATGCTGGGATTAAAAGCAGCACTGTTTTTAGTAACACTTTTTTACTGAGATCGGTTTGGTTTTATAGTTTACTGTGTGGTCTTATGTACTGTTGTGCTGACACAGATGTTGAAAATGCACCTTTTTTGGTGGCAAGACAGAATATGGGAATTCCTACTGTTTTTGCTGGATTGCCACCAAAAATGAGGAGCTGGATGTGAAGCCACCCCCACACCTGGTTCCCCTGAATGCAGGGGCAGTTGCTGAAATCTCCACAATTAGGAGGAGAAGCTATTTATGAGCCCCGGGGAATGTCTGATACCTGTAGTTAGTGCACTGCTTTCGCTCTGTTGTTCTCATTTTGCCTGGAGAACAGAACATTTTCTTGACATGTTTGGAAAGGAAGTTAGACCACTGCAGCTATTCAGCTGTAAGTTGTATTTGATGTATGTCCAAAACTGTATTTTTCAAGTGAGTTCCAGTGAGGGCAGTAATAGTAGAAATCCTTCAATGGGCTTTTTGTTTAGTGAAATAAAATGAACAGTTGTTTATCACTGTGTGGAGTGTTTGGTATGCAGCCAATAATAATTTAGTAGTTAGTAAGAATTCTGCTAACACACACATACTTATCTTGCTTTCTTTTCTTGAGTTCCTGCTTTCTGCCGTGCAAGAAATCATTCCAACGGTCTTAACGGTCTCTCCATCACTTGCAAGTGAAATCRGGAATGCTATAAAACCTCATTTACCCTTTCCTCAGTCTGTCTTTGTATATCCTTGCTATATTCCCTAGACCACCTTAGATAATGTCTTTTTTTGCTTGGATTTAAGGCCATAAAAAGCTATGAAGCAATAACATAAGTACTTGTGTGATGAAGACTTTTCAAGTGGTTTTTCCTCAGGCCTTTTCCCCTCATCCAACCTGTATGCACATGATTAATGATCTCTCTTTGATCAAGCTTCTACATGCATTGCCACTGCAAGTTCTGCTTCGTAGAGTTGTGTTCAGGCATCTAGATTGCACGTGGTGATTTCTTCAGATTTTTTATCTTTAAATGCTTTTGCATTTTTTAATGCTTTGCATTAACAACAAACTGAAATAAAATAGTAGAGAAAACATTGCATTGGATCTTGAAGTATTGTCCACAGAGATCTTCTAACTCCTACAAAGTTCATGGAAGTTGCAGCTYTCAGCATCACTCAGGGTCAGACATCTGGTTTCCTGTTCTTCACATTAATGCTTTTATTCTATCTGAAGCAGGTGCCATATTCTTTTTTTGCAAAACTATTTTTCTGTCCTGGATCAGGAATTCAGATAAGGGCATTAAATTCATTAAATTAGCTATCTGTCACCATGGCATACTACTGGTGGGGAAAACAAGTTAGTCTTCCCAGTTAAAAGAAGCTTTGTATAAAACACTGTGCTTTTATCATGCTAAGTTGTGGATTAGATGAGAAATAACAGGGCAAACTGATCTCAGTTATGCTGCTGTAAATCCAGAGTAATTCCATTTATTTAATTGGAATTAAAAAAAAAAAGTTTTGTGTATCTGTAACAGTACAATTAAGAGCAGACTTAGGTGCCAGGATGATAATCCTGTTCTTGGACCAGGAGCAACATAAAGTCAGCACTATAATTCAGGCCTAAAAGTGCTAATGRGGAGTTAGTTACAAGGCAATTATGACTGCTAGGAATGTTTAATGCTTAAAGGAGATATAGTTGCTTCTTTCAAAATAGCTTCAACCCAGCCCTTAGTTAAGTTAAGGAGAATCCCAGGCATTGTGATTATACATTCCATTCTTGTGTGTGTATGGTCTAAACCAGCCCGGGATTTGTACTGATGCAGACTTCAATCACGGGGCTATTTTTTCCTTTGAAAGAACATTTATGTGCATAGAGATGCAGATAAATCTTGAATACACTGAGATCCGAGGTCTTGACATCTCACTGGCTTCTGAGTCTCAGTGCCCATGAGAACCCAGTCTGCAGTGAGAAGCAGTTTGTGCTCCTGGATGGGTTATAACATGCCAAACTGAGCCACAGGTTTCACTCCACAGCTCCTGAAGGAGCACAAAGCATGCGGCTCCTTTCTAGGGGTTTTATGTTTTACACAGCTTTGCTAAAGGTTTTGCCAGGTTGAGCCTCATAYTGGTAATTTTCTATTCTTTAGCACAAAAGCASGTTACTGAGTGATTCAGGCTCATATTGACCTAAGAGGATAACTAAATGTTGGTGTCACTTTGTTGTTAAAGGACAGTAGGATTCCGGGGCCCTGTCCTGTTGCATGTCTCAGCCGAGTCACAGCTTCAGGGCARAGTGAGATCTGGATACCTGTTATTCTTCTCATTCCTTTTCCCCAGTGCCCCTGCTCCTGTGAAACRAGGCACACTCCAACACATCCCTGATCAGGGCACACCGTGGTCCACATTTGCCAGACATATGAGCAATGACCTTGCCCAAGGCAGCATTGTTTCCTAGTTTGCTAGGAAAAACACATGTCGTTTAATATGGTCTGATCCAATTCTGCTCTGTTAGGGAGTACATGTATGTAGATGGCAATAGCCATTACTCTGTCAAGGGAGCCATCTCTACAAATGTTTGTGTTCTCTCCTTAATAGAAACTGCCCTTTCAATTTTGGATGCTGCTCTGACAGT